TAAAATGTTATATAAGTTGTAGCCTCAAAAGACTCATTTCAGGTTTCTTACTGGTTATTAAGTATCGCACACTGGCAAATAATATGTAAGAATAAATGATAAGAAAGTTCATGCAGATTATTTATTTATTTTAAATCCAATTTTACTTTTTTAAAAATAGAGAGAGGGTCTTGCTATATTGCTCAGGCTGGTCTCGAACTCCTGGTCTCAAGGGACGCTCCTGCCTTGGCCTCCCAAAGTGCTGAGATTACAGGCATGAGCGACCCCACCCCACCTCATGCAGATTCTAATTTAAGATAAAATATCACCTGAGAAGTCCTAGACTATATTTGAACTCAGTTTTCCAAATAATTCCCTAAAGAAGAAGGGCCTTTTAGCCTACTCTAATTCTATTTTTATTTTGCTGATTTTCCATCACTTTTACTGATCAATGATTTCTGTTTAAACTTTTATATACTACTTCTTAAATTAGAAACAATTCAGATAAATTTATGGTTTTATGCTTATTTGCTTAGCAACTAAGTTGATTCTAAAAATTGAATTTTTTTAGCAAGACAGAAAGAATGTTTAGTAGAAAAAGCACTGATTTGGGAGCCAGGAGGCTTATAGTAAAGTGTTTACACTTTAAGAATGAGCTAAATGTATAACTTAAATCAAGTGCATTGGCTTAATTATTGGAACCTCAGTAAAGCATATGTTTTCTCTCAAATATGCCCTTTCCCGTCAGTTCAGTAGGGAGTGGGCCAAAAGGGAAAATCTGAATGCTAACATATATGTAAAACATGATGGGAAACTACCCTCTCCCTTCCACCAAAACAATGCATGGAGTTGTGGATTTTAAATAACAGTAATTATTCATATGAGACTCTGTACCAAAAAGGGCACAGAAATAATTCATGTATTACTAATACCTACGGAACAATAGGAATATGCACAGATTAGGGCAAAACTAGCATTTTGTTTTTTTAAAGGTTATGCTACACTGCAGTCTGAAGTAGTATTCTTAAAGTTCAAATTACACATTGGGTCCACAGATAATACACAAAAACTGATTTGGGATAAATGAGCCCTATGGATGATCTCTACAAAAGCAACATCTGGGCCAACACCTACATACACTCACCAGAAACTGCAGCAAATACAAGCAGAGCAGGTAAGCACAAAGGAGAACAGGAAGATGGCAGTGTAACCTGGCTACACCAATGGAAACATTCTGATGAATGCCATCCATGAACACAAGCACACACTACTACTCACAAAATGGTAATAAATTCATATTCATCCCCAGGCATTCCCAATTAGTGAAGAATTATATTTGAAGCCTACTTTAAAATAATAGGGGCTGACCACGGTGATTGACGCCTGTAATCCCAGCACTTTAGAAGGCCAAGACGGGCCGATGGCTTGAGCACGCAGATTGCTTGAGCTCAGGAGTTCAAGACCAGCCTGGGCAACATAGTGAGACCCCTGTCTTTACAAAAAATACAAAAATTAGCCAGGTGTGGTGTGGTGTGTGCACTTGCAGTCCTAGCTATTCAGGAGGCTGAGGTGTGAGTCTTGCTTGAGCCCAGGGGGCAGAGGTTGCAGTGAGCCAAGATTGCGCTACTGCACCCCAGCCTGGGCAACAGAGACCCCGCCTCAAAAATAAATAAAAAAATACATTAATTAATGTAATCCCCCATCCGTCTATTTTCAATACAGGGCAAACCAAAAAGCAGTTCCGTGCATTTAACCTAAATTTTTCTATAAGAATATATTGTATGTAGTTCTTTAAAAATAGATTTTTGCCCATTTGCCGTAATTTTTTTAATTTGATGAATTGAAGTGGTATTCCTTAACTGCAATTTCAAGATGTTTTTCCCTACAGGCCAACAACCCACAAAATAAAATGCCACACCTGAAGCAATCCTCCAAACTTACTATCCGTCATTAGCAAATAGAGCTTTAACCTTTTGGGCATCACAGGGTCTTTAAGATGCCCGTGCCTGCTGAGACCTTCTCCCTAGAAAAATGCAGTAAATACATCTTGTTTCATAGGGCTCATGGACTTGTTGAACACTATACACAGGCCACAAGTAGAATCTATTGTCTACCTGAGAATATACTATTATTTCGAAAGTCTCTTAGGAATTGGCAGCAAGGAGTGTATGTGCAATGGGTACAAATCCACCCAGGGTTTTGTAGTTGTGATATTACTACTATTTTTGGTGGCCTCAACTTTAATGGAGCAGAAAAACAATTGAGGTTAGCAAATAGCAGTGTAAAGGATGGATTCAGCTCATTGGGAAGAAAAAAAAATTCTGCATACCCTGAAGAAAGAGAAGCTTCTTTTCAGTTTCCAGAGAACCAGAAGGACCATCATTTAACTTCTGATTAACTTTGAGTATGATAAGTAGGAAATGTCTTTAAATGGGGTTAAAATTAATAGACATTAGAAACAGAAACTACACTCTTATTTAAGCTATCAGTAATCATTGATGGCTAAATGTTATCAGTATTGTTAATAAGAGGGAAATTCAGTTATAAAAATAGAGCACAATACTCTAAAATTTTCATCTTTGTTTAAAATACTTGGAGGCAGTGTAGTTAAATGCAAAATATTATGTCAGTTATTTTGTACACCTGAAGGACTGTTTATAAATGTTTCTCATGTACATTACCACACAAATATTATTCTAGAATACTTGAGTTCTACATACTACAAATCATGTTAAAGAATCATAGCACCTTTAAAAAATTTTTCATACTGAACTGTTGGATAGAATTTCCCTTAATGTATAGCAATAAGCTTCAACAATTTACAGTGGCTCAGGTTGTATATCTATTTTGATGCTATATATGAAGAGTCTGATATGTTTTCTGACAAAAGCAAAAGCTAAATAAATTATTATTAAGTCAACACTACTGACTCATGTAGTTATTAAGGAAAACTATATATACTTTCATGAAACCTAATTATTACACAGTTTTGCATTTCAGCTTAATTCCTATTTTATTGTTTTGCCAACAAGACTGCCAACTCCTTAAGCATTACAGCTAGTCAAGAATTAAATCCGCATTAAATACAGAATTAATTTGTCTTTGGGGTTTAATTTTTTTTAATTAATAGCAAAGTGCTATGTCAAGAAGAGTCAACGTACCAAAAAATTAAAACAGAAAATCAAAATTCATTAAAACAATTTCTGTTTGTTTGCTCAGTAGTATATTTTTTACATTCACTGAACATTGCCTTGCCTTTCCCATAATTAAAAAGTTAATTATTGGAATCATATTTTTTGTAGATCCCAGTTTTCAAACAATGTGATTTAAATGCTTGTTATTAACATTATTACAACACTTTGAGTAACACTGATACTAACACTAAAGTGATGCTGTTTTGTACATAATTAAATTTGTTACCATTCTAAACAGAACTTTAAATTTAACTCTGTGGTAAAGACCCTGCTTAAGTATTGAACCCTCCAGTCTGAATATTTTTATAACCTTTTTTGTTTTAAGAGACAGAGACGCGAACTCCTCGGCTCAAGGGGTCCTTCTGTCTCAGCCTCCTGAGTAGCTAGGACTACAGCTGTGTACCACTGTGCCCAGCTTCATTATAACCTGTTAAAGGTAGCAGTTAAGTTCCTCGAGGGTCAAGTCATTCTCCCTTCCCCCACCTCTTGTCCAAATATTCAAGAAATATTTACTCAGTGATTTAGTAATCTACATTTAGTTACAAATATATTTATTACTAAATATAGATTACCATTAATAAATAGTTCCTCGGTTTAGTATGGTCTCTTAAAGTTTTCAGAAGCTATTAAATACTATAAACTGTGTATAATGAGCACAGTTTTTAGACATCTTTTCAGTGGCCAAAACAGAGGAAATGAATAAGAATGGACAAATGTAGCAAATTAAACCCATAACAGTTTTAAAAATTCTGGATTAAACAACCCAAACAACTAATAAAATCAACTCCTTGTCAAAAGTACATCTGGGAATGCTTCTCTAAAAAATATTATTATAATTGCCTAAAATTTAATTTTTTAGTTGTCTTATTAGAAAGTCTTTAATTGAAAATTATCACTTAAAAATCAAACTGGCTTTAATGTACAAAGCATAATCTCCACTGAAAATAATTTTTTAAAAAAAATCCCACATTTCTGATTCCTTTTTAAGAGAAAAAAAAAAAGGAAAAAATCCCCCAAAGCTTATCAGGCTTTTTCGGGCTAAATCATTCAGAAATCTCTCTATAAAAGATTCAGAGTATATTCAGGACATTAAAATTACCCTACTCTGAAGTAGAATAAACTACTTCCTTATCTTTTAAAAGCTTAGTTATCAATACTACTTAGAATTACCATCAGAGTGTCTGTATTAAGAGTACCCTAATCTGCAGCAGAATAAACTATTTCCTCACCTTTTAAGAGCTTAGTTATCAGTACCCCTTAGAATCACCATAAGAATGGGAGGGCTTCATCTAGGATTTGATATTGTAATTAAATTTTCAAATAAGGCAAATTAGTCCACATAAAAAAGTACAGCAATAGGTACAGGCAAGAGAAGCCATGAAGGCATTCTCGAATCTCGCCAAAGAATTTTTCTCTAAAATCATCTTTAAGGAAATACCAATTTAACTTCAATAGCCTTGTTTAACGATTCAAACTATTTTTTTAAATCTTAGAATAACCTAAAATCACAAAATTTCTCCACTGAGTTGGCATACCAATTCCTCAATTTAAGTTATTTCAGCTGTTGTAATCATACACCTGATATGCTTGATTTGAAACTGGGTAGTTTTTTAAGGTTTAGTTGAATGAGGGAATTATTAATTTATCACAATTTCCAGACTAATATTAAAACTGATGGTAAGAATGAAAAATTCAAATAAAATAACAGAAACCTCTAATTACGGTGTGCAGCGTTTGCAGTTACAAAAGCAACACTTTCCATTTTTCCCATCGTAAGGACTTTGTCACCAAAATAGTAAACTATACAAATTGGATTGCAGCAATTTCCACTGTTATTGGTAATTTTTTAATAGGAACACTTTCCATTAATGCTTGAAAACTACGAACTACATTTTATTTTGTATCTTCTCAAATTAGTTGGAGAACATCTATTGTAAAGCTGTCAGCACATCTCTAACATTACTTTGCCAGGATCCACCTGCTCTATGCTGCCCACTACAGGAAATGCAATATGGTAATAAGAAATATAATAGAAGGTTACTTTAGTACAATCTCATAAAAAATATACTCTGACTCTACTTCGATGCTAAATGTGGTGTTCTTGCAAGAGATACAGACTGATTAGTGGCAATCAAATTTATCAACTCTAAAGGACATCAGTAAGAACAGACAGGACCAGAAATTTTATCTTGGTGATCCACATGCCAGGATTGGCGCGGCAGAGGATGGAGTGTGGAACTTAGTGATTGAGGCGCAGCCTGCAGAAATCTCAACTTCTGCGCTAGAGATTAAATACGAGGATCAAAATCAACATAAACAACACCCCTTTTTAAAAAGTCATGTAAACACAAATGATTGCTGCAACTAGAAAACAACATTTAAAATAAATTATTCTTGTGATGCATATCTGTTTCAACAAACAAACCTTTCTTTAAACCTTTACGTTACTCTTACAAGCAAATACCGTTAATAGCTTACTTTTGTCTTACATTTTTCTAATCACAGGAAAATTGAAATGTAAGTAATCTGATAAACATCAAGTTTTACGTTTATGCTTTTGACCGCAGGGTATACACTGTTAAGAATTTAAATTCTATTCATCAGATATACTTTCGGACTCCATTTTGAAGATAGCCTCTTCTACAGAAAAGGAATTTTAAAAAGTCAATTCTCCAGTTTCTCATCACATCTTTTTTTTTTTTCTTAAAAAAAGGCTTTTAAACATTAGTATCACTCCAAGTCTTTAGCCTTTGATACTTGCTCTGAAAAGCAAAACACACTATTGTATACGTTAGTGTATGCACACACACACATTAACAGTGACATAAAAGTGGAAACCGCCTCTTGAAAAGTAAAAATGTCATCCCTCCATTCTGCCCTTAAATGAGAAATAAAGACAATAGATTTGCCCACTGCAGACTGGGACACCAGAAAAGACATTCTAAGTCTAGCCTGAGACAATATTAACCTTCTATCTTAAGTCCCAACTCGGACGATTTAAATTTCAGTGTACGTGCCTCCGTTCCCACTCTTGCCCCATCAGCTCCATCAGCACCGTCATCCCCAGCTCGGATCCCGGCCGCCACCCGCTAGGGCCGCCGGAGTCCACGAATACCGCCCGCTCCTGGCAACCGAGCTCCCCGGTTCCCGGCCGACCACGAGTTCCTGGAGCAGCAGCCTCCAGGCTTCCCGAAGCCCACGATTCAGGCGAGCGGTGCCGACCGGGCCGTGGACTGTTGCATTTTAAAACTACAGAAAAGTCTCATTGCACGACAGGCGCGGCCGAGGTGGCCCAGGACACCCTCCAAGAGATCGCGGTCAGCTGCCGGGAGCGTGGAAGAGCAACCAAAGCCACTAAGGCGCCGCGGCAAGTCCCCGGAGCAGTCACCTCAGCTTTCCGTTCTCCCTCTAGTTATACCCCACAGGCTTCTGGCGCTTCCTTCGAGAAAATGAAAAACTAAAAATGCGTAGAGGTGGAAGTCGTTGGCATTTTCCGTTTAATGTGATCCCCCAGGCTCCATCCCTTAAGTGGGGTTTCCAAACTCGGATGCATCCTCAGCAGAGGTTTTCCGTGTTGACAGATCTCTCACCTCCCACAAAATGGGGCCGGGGAGGCGGACGCTGTCTCCTCTATGGGCGCCGCCATTTTGTGAGGCGGCGGCGGCGCGGCGGCAGGAGCCCGGGGTGTGTATAATGGTTGAATAGAATGACCCCCCTCTAGGGAATCCCCGGCACTGACGGTTACGTAAGGGGCTGTGCGCAAGTGCGGCGCTTAGGGAATCCGCACAGCCCGGGCCACGCAGCTCCGAGCCCACATCTCCACTCCCCCTAAGAGGACGGGTGGGGGAAGGGACAGCTGACCGAGTGTTCCTAACAGCAGTCTCACCCCTAGTCTCCCGCGGCCGCCGAGCTTCTCCACCTCCCCGAGCCGGGTCTCCGCCCCTCACAGGCTTCCGAGACACTCACTGGCCCTGGGGTGTCAGGAACTTCCTAGCCACAACCTTATTCCGACCCCACTTAAGAGACAAACTTTAGTTGGGAAATAAGTCCGTTTCCTAGAGTGAGCACCGGAAGCACGCTGCACTATATTACATAATTTTTCACCTCCAAAGCAATGTTCCCATTGGAACGACTACCTGAAATAACCCATCCAGACCCTTACTACCCTGTGACCTTGCGTTAGGCAGTGACTTTGCCCGTGGTGGCCGTCACTAAAATGGGAATAATAATACGCTTCACGTACTGTAATCTTAACATTTGTAGCAAAAAGCCGGCTCCAACACCCTTCGTAAATGCAAATTTAGGTGGTAGTATTTGTTGAGATGTTTTGACTATCATTTAAACAAAGGGTTTTTTTAACTTTCAAAAATATTTTAAACGAGGATTACATTTAAGACATTTGAAAGCAAGGAAAAATGTTTTATTCGATATTTATTTTAAATGCAGCAATCTTGAAGAGACCTTACTATAAAAATGTAAACGTTAATTATTGTCGAAGTTCGACAGATTGCTTCCCAACCAGTTTAGTTAGCTTGCATAACTTTGGTCATAGAATAATCCAGTTTGATATGTGAAGCCAACCAGCGGCAAGATGTATTAACAGCATTACTCTATTTCCACAGAACTAGGACAGACAGTTCACAATGTATTTAACGTATAGTTTGCTAAAGTTAGCGTGTGGATAATTCATAGAAAATGTGCTAACCAGGCCCCAAAATACTAGCATAAGGCTCATAAAAGCCGATTCCTTTAGACTTTACAAAAAGAGAAGGTAACACATTGACTTTATTCCGATCTGTGAATGTTGCGTAGCGTGAGTAGCTGCCCCGGTGAGCTTCCTTTCCCTTCAGAGCGCCACACCGGTTCTATCGGGCGGGCGGGGACTCCGAGGCGGGCCTTCTAACAGCCGGGCCGGGGACGCGAACATCGCCTCCACCCCTAACCCTGGAACAACCGGTAGTGGCCGTTTCCCCGCGCCGCCCCCCTTTCCGCCGGCTTTGTGTGTGTGTGTGAAATGTGCGGCACATTGCAGACGAACCCTAAGCCCGGCGAGCCGAGTCTATTGTTCCCCGCGAGGAGCTGCCGGGGCGGTGTGGAGCCAGGCGCAGTGCCGCGGCCGGCCCTC